TTATAAAGTGTTTTTAAAGTTTAGGATACTATTCATGTTTTGGTTTTTATATTTGCTGGCATTGTTGGCAAAAGGTTTCTTCTTCCCAGAAAGAAGAGAAAGTTGGGCACGCGGTAAGATTAGTGTCTTTGTCTTGATAATTATAAATTTCAATAAAATTAAAAAATAGGTGGACAAATTTCCAATAAAAAAAAAAAAAAGATTAGTGTGTCTTTTTGGGCCCTTTACTTAAAAAAGGTTCTTTGGTCCTACTTAAAAAAGGTTTTTTTAGTCTTTAAAGTTTAAAATTCAATCCTTTCATTATTTTTTTACATAAATATCATGTATAATAGAAATTCCAAAAGTAGAAAAATTAAAAAGAGTTTTTTTTCAAGTAGAAGAATCAAAAATGAATTTTTTTTTAAGTAAAGGGACAAAAAAGGTTTTTTATTAATTCTTTTTTACTCGCTCTACTTTAGAATTTCAGTAATATAATATGTCATATGTATAAAAAGCAATGGAAGATTAAAAAGTGACTGAATTTTAAACTTTAGAGGATCAAAAAGGAGTTTTTTTAAGTAAAATGACTAAACATAGGCTTTTTTATTAAAGTTGAGGGGCCCAAATAGAGTTTTAGCCAAGGAGGGATAAGCGGAAGGAATTAGGGGTCAAATCATAAAATTATGAAGGACTAAAGTGTAAAGGTCCACAGAGGATGAAAATGGAATAATGGAAAGGAGAAGCAAGAGTCTAATTCGACGTGATTCCCTTGGTGTATGTAGTTTTTAAAAGTTTATAAATAGGGTGTGCTCCTTGCTTTAATGGGTACCTCATCCTCACCTGAAGCTAGCTAGCTAGTTTTCAAGAACATATATTTCCCATCTCACTTGCTATTGTCTCACATATCTCCCTTTTGATGTATATAGAGAGAGAGGATGGAGCCGAAAAACTTTATTCATAAACATCCACTGCACTTCTTTGAAGAGTGGAGCAATGTCCACGGTAAGACTAGAGGTGTAAATTGCTCATCAGGATGTGGGCAACCAATTTCAACTCAGTTCTATGCATGCGTCGATTGTAAGTTTTTCCTTCATAAATCATGTTCCGAGCTGCCACTGAACATCACTCACCCCTTTCATGATAATCATCCTCTCACTCTTTTAGCCAAAGCACCATACTCGGCTTTGTGTGATTTTTGTGATGGTAGTGTCGATGGATTTGTTTACCACTGTTCTTCTTGTACATTTGACCTTCACATCAAATGTGCCTTGCTCCCAGAATTCCTCAATGGAGATTTTCCAAAAGTTGATCATCACATTCATGTTGAACACCCACTCTTCTTCATAAAAAATCTTAGCCATGAAGTTAAACTAGCTTCTTCCCGCTATTGCAGTGTTTGCTTAGAACAGTTATCAAATGCTTCCTTTTACACTTGTGTTGTTTGTGAGCTTTTCCTTCATAAATCATGTTCTGAGACTGAGCTACCATTGAACATTAATCACCCCTTCCATGAGAAGCACACTCTTACTCTTAATTTTCTTCGACGGGATAGTGAAGTACCTTGTCAATTTTGTCATAATGATCATTGTGGTAAAGGATTGTTTTACCATTGTTCTTCTTGTCGTTTCAAACTTCACATCAACTGTGCCTTTCTCCCACAATTCCTCACTAGAAATTTCCCAAAACGTGATCATCATCTTAGTGATGTTGATGACCACCCACTCCTCTTCATCCAAAAGGACCTTATTAGCAAAAGCAATAAAGTTGAACTATGTTCTAATTGCTTTGTTTGCGCAGAATCATTATCTGATAGTTCTTTTTATTATTGCCCAGAATGTGAATTTTTCCTTCATAAATCATGTACTTTTAAAATGATACCTTTGAAAATTAATCACCCTCTCCATGATGAACATGCTATTAGACTAACCGAAAGGAGTTTTGGCAACGTAGCATGCAACTTTTGTCTTAATGATATCAAGGGATCTAGGTACATTTGTTCTTCTTGTGGCTTCCAGCTTGATCCCAAATGTGCTTTGCTCATCACAAAAGATCTCGCAAAACATAATCATTTTGCCCATGTGGAGCACCCACTCGTCTTTGTCCAAATGCTTAGAAAGGAAGTTAAAACTAGTGCTTGTTGCTCTGTTTGCTCAAACCCATTATTGGGCACTTCTTTTTACTGTTGTCTTGATTGTCGATTTTTCTTTCACAAAAAATGTGAGGCAGAGTTGTGGCCTAAGATTGAGCACGTCGCCCACCCTCAACACCCTCTTATTCTTGAATTTCCAGCACAGAATCGTGCCAGCCGCCACTTTTGCCACTTTTGCCATGATACCAATATTAACAAAATTGGTTACATCTGTCGCTCTTGTGACTTTTATATTCATCATGAGTGTACCTTACCCAGGTTCTTCCCAGAAAGTAAGATCCATGACCACCAGTTGAGCCCATTCATGAGGAAAAATCCCTTCATTTGCGATGCATGTGGGGGGGCAGGAGATGACGCTCGCTATTTTTGTTTAAAGTGCAGCATCATGATCCATCCGGATTGTATTTTCCTGCCAAAACTCATCAAATTCAAACTGCACAATCATCATATACTCGGCCACAACTACAGGTTTCCACAAAAAGTGGGTGAAAAATGGACCTGTCAATTTTGTTTCAAAAAGGTGCTGGCAGAGTATGGGAGTTACAAATGTTTGCACTCAGACTGTGATTATGTTCTTCATGGGAGTTGCGTAAAAGAGAATAAAGGTCGTCTTTATATCGAAGTTGAGTCAAGGAATGAGGAAAGTGATGAGGCTTCTTCTTCTTCTTCTAGTTGTGCTATGGCGCTAGGAGACAAGACAAGGCATTTCAGCCACAAGCATGAATTAGTGCTTGATAAGCTTGATAATGAGGAAAATGGTGATAAAAAATGTTGCGATGGGTGTGCATTACCAATCTTGCTTGCTGGTTACAGTTGTCCACGAGCAGAGTGTAATTTCTCCCTTCACAAGGCATGTGCCCAAATTGGAGAGCACAAACCACATTGGGCTTCCCAACATCCTCTTCGACTTAGAATGGAGCCCCTTTCTAGATGTCAATTGTGTAATTATAACTGCAGCGGTTTTTTTTTCGGCTGGGGAGGAGTTAGTTGGATGTGGATTTGCCTCAGATGTAGTGAGATCCCTTTCATCACCACCCATGAAGCACATGCTCAGCATTCCCTCTTCTGTGATCAAGGTCACAAGGGACAATGTAGCGGCTGCGGTAAAGAAATGGGCGATTATGGTGGTTATAGATGCACGCTAGCAGAAGAAGAGGAGAATTGCAAATCTTTTGCCTTGGACTACAGATGCCTGACACGGCCCCTTACAGCTCAGCATAGGTTCCACCATCACCCTCTAAAACTCACTTATGAGGATCCTTACAAGGATGATGATGGTGATCCTTTTCAACACATGTGTGAAATCTGTGAAGATAGAAGAGATCCAAAGCTATGGTTTTATCGGTGTGATGAGTGCGATTTTGATGCTCATCCCGATTGCGTTCTTGGGGAATACCCATTCGTCAAACATGGGAGCATTACGTATCATCTTAGCTGTCATTCTCATCGTTTTGGACCTCTCATGTATTTCCAGAGTGAGAAATATCCCTATCCAAAATGCAAGAGATGTGGCCTTCCTTGCAAAGATCAGTTGGCTCTTAAATGTCCCCGCTCTGAATGCAACTTTGCTCTACATTTTAAGGATTGCTAATCAGATCGTTAAATTTTTCGTTTGCGGCGACGGTTGAATTGTCAATGAGTTCATCTAATGTGCTTAGTTGGCCCAAAACGGCAAGCAATGAAGACGTTTTGATGCTATATGCTTCTGCTGTTCTGCATTCTTATGCTGTAAAAAAACTGCAAGAAACTACCCCAAGATTTTGCTCTATCAGTTGCTGCTTCCGCGAACGATTTCCTGCTTAGGTTTGTGTTTACTTTCTGAAAATAACAGGTAAGGAGTTGCTAGCTATTTCCGCTTAGAATTTTCTTGGTTACTTCTCAATTGTTTTCATCTTCTTTTTTGATTTACATAATGCAGAGTCTGCCACAGGCAATGAAGATTTTGCGCCAAGGAGATTTCATCTTCTCATGTTACGAAGATGAATAGGATCAAAACAACATATGACCGTATATAAAGCCACAAGCATTTCAACGATTGCTGGAAAGGGCTAAAGGAAACAGGGCAAGTTACATAAGATCCATTTTAATAGTAACTTGTTCTCCTAGGTGATGATTAAAGTTGCTTTATGTAGAAAAAGTATTCAGATAGATAAAGTTTGAAAAGGAAGCGACGTTGAATTACATAACAATATCAGTTTTCCAGTTGCTGCTGTGAAATTTTTGATAAATGGCAATCTATGTACAACAACAATTATCCAAACATAACATAAATGGTCCTGCAGTCCTCTGGTTAACATAGATCAAGAACAGGGTCGTTGTCATGTTGATCTGAACAATAATAATACTTCAAATTTTCTTTCTTGGAACCCAAACAGCAACAAAGAGCGCTTTCAAGAATCAAACACCTTCAAGAACTGCTGGTCAACTTCCACAATCCACTCCTCAACATTGTCTATACTTTCATAATCAATAGGATCAAAGCAAGTCTTCTTTTTATTATCATTCCTAGCATTCAAGATAAATATAAAATATAAAAGAAATGTAAATATTCAATTCAAGGAAATGAATAAAGGTATACAACTTTAAAAAATAAATGTTATTGTAGACTAGAGATCAAATAAATTACATATGTTTCAAACGCAAATTGTAATGCACATAGACAAGATCATTTAACCTTTGATGCTCCAATCTATTCCTTTTTTTTGTGTGAATTCTTTCAAAAACATTCTAATTTCTTTCACAACCCGAAGAAGACGATGTTTGACTCAAGATTTGAATAGCCAATTTCTTTAAATTTGGAGCACTATATCCAAAATATTTCCACCATTCATCTATCGAGATAAGAAGATAAAATAACAAAAATGTTAATAAAATAAGAAGTTAAAAAAATGTCATAAAGAATTAAAAAGGAAAGAGTACAATAACTTTTAAAAGTTAAAATCTTACCGGGTTTCATGCTTTTTGAAGAATCAAGAGCACTTTCACGAGTAAAACTTTTCATTTTTTGGTCATACAACTCACACTCACTCAAGAATTTTGACTTCTGAGACGGTACTTTTGCCTCCACAATATCCATAAAACCTTTCATGATTTCTTTTTTGGTTGAGAAATTTTCTTTATCATAAAAAAAAGCCGGATTCAAATAATAGGCAGCAGCATGAAGATTTTGTCAAAGTTGTCTATCTCATCTTTCCTTAATAATTTTTATATAAGGCTTGTACAAAAACTTCCTATTCATCAAAATTGTTTTAATTGCTTTGCTTGCCCTATACATGCCATCATAGACATAACCAAGTGAAGGTCTCATATCACCATCCACAATTCTAAGCAAGCAAATAAGTGGTCCCACGATTTTCACAATTAGCTCACAATTATTCCAAAATTTCTTCTCTAAAACAACAGTCACAACATCTTTTGCCTTTTAATCTTTATAATATCTAGACTCTCTAAACTCCAAACTAGTAACCAATGCTTGTAAATCATGCTTTTGATCATGAAGACTTTTTAATGCAATGAATGTTGTTGCAAAACGTGTTGACCCTGGACGTATGATTTATGTCCATCCTTCTCTTTTTCTTAACCAAGCTAACAAGAAAAGATGATTGTATACAAATTTGGTCACCAAAGATCCACTAGTCGCAAGACCACTAACAACATTCAACTTGCCAATATCACTCAATATCAAGTTTAAACAATGGGCAGCATAAGGAGATCAAAAGATTGTAGGATACATGTCATTTAACAATTTTCCAACCTTTTTATAATTAGCTGCATTATCAGTAACCAAATGCACAACATTACTAGCACCCACAAACTCAACCAATTCTTTGAACAAATTGCACAGCATGGAAGCATCTTTAACCACATCAGAGGCATCAACTGATTTCACAAAAGTAATTCCTCTAGAACAATAGACAATAAAATTAATTAACTGCCTATTGCTTTGATCTTGCCAACCATCACCCATAATAGTGCAACCGGTTTCTGCCCATACACTCCTATAAGAATTAACTAATAATTGGACTTCCTTTTTCAAATCACACAACAAAGTGGATCTCATCATATGATAACTTGGTCCTTTGTAACTAGGACCAATTGCAGCAATAGCATCAAGCATAGGTCGAAAATAAGGAGAATTTATAGAATTTATGGGCAACCAACTAAAAAA